GAGATCCATATATCATTCCATATTGAATCAAACTATTGATTTACATTCATATTCAAGATCTTCTTTTGTGTTCTTAAAGTTTTAGTGAATTGCACTTGTGCTTTGGTGTTAAATCATTTACAAGGCTTGATATAATCCTACAAACCATTTGCCAAAACCCTTAAACATCTCATTCAATCTCGAGAGGGTGTAAATATAGTTTGAGGACAACGATCCCGTGTTCAAACTTCAAATTCATTCTTAACGTATTTCGTGATTTCTATTTATTTTGTTTCTATATTTTTGTTGTTGTTTCTTCTCCAATCCCTTATTTTCCAACAGTGTGAACCAACAAGGTGCTGGAGAGGCGCTGAGTGAGCTGTCTAGCTCAATGTTGAATAAATTGCTTGGTGTGGTACGATATTTTTATTTTTCTGTTTTTCTAATTTATCCCTAGCTTTAGCAACTTTATAATGTAGCGTCTGAGATCATCTCGAACAAATACTATTTATTTGTAAAATACAATTTAAATAAGAAATTAATCAACCAAAGGTCCAAACTCCATTTTCCGAGTAACAATAAAAAAATAAATAATTAAAAACCTATACAAATATTTAAATCAAAAGGCTGGATGATGTCGTTGCCACAGCGTGGCTTCTGCTTCTGGGATACTTGTATTCCCTCTTCGAATTCACATTCATTTCTCCAAAGTAACAACACGGCCGATCTTCATCGATACTCCCCATGGCCACGCTGCTACTCCTCGGCATCCCGACTTTCTTCTGTTGTTGCAGGTACAACTCCAAATCCAGGTCAGTTCTCCGGTTTGATGAAGCCCGAACAAGCTCCCTGAAATCCTCACTTTCCGACGACAAGGATGATCTGACGCTATAGCTCTTTGACAGGCCACGCATGTTCGTGGGACGATAATTGGCCATGACAGAGCAATCTGTAATGCTTCTGACGTAGAAATCCCGGGCTTTGCATAGAACCCGATAGGGAATTGTGATGACTCTCAGAAAACTGTTTTGGCCGCTAACTTTAGATTTCATGATCTGAGTTTTGCTGGATTCTGATGCAAAAAAAAAGACTTGATTAAGCAACTTATAAGTATTTATGACGAAGATGACGGAGAGAGGAGGTTTTTTGTAATTGAGATATGGAAAATGATATTAATATATGGATGGA